CAGCTGCAGAGCCAACATCACAAAAGGAGAATCGCCTGCTATCAGGTGGAGAGCGAAACAGCCAGGTGAGGGCACTAACCTGTGAACCCTGGCATTTGGAGATAAAGTCCAGGCAAAGACCGGGGAAGAGACGTTTGAGGAGCACCAAGGAACAGAAATCTTGTCAAGGTCAAGCAGATAGAGTTCCAAGAAATGTTCAACAGTGGGGAAAAGTCCAGGAAAATATAAAGACTAGAGAATATCCCCTGATTTGTGTCTTTGGAAGCTGCTGACACAGTGAGAAAGGTTTCAGTGGAGTGGCAGGGCAGTCTCTGGGCTGCAGCAAATTAAGGCGTAAATGTGGAGTAAGTGAAGATAGTACCTGTTGACAACATGTCTGAGAAGCTCGAATCAAAAGGAAGGAAAAGCAATAACTCAATGGGACAGCAGGGTGATGGACAAGGACATGGTTAGGATGGGGAGGACCTCAGGTGTTTATAACCTCTGGGGGAAGAAGTAAAACAAGGAAAGTTGAGGACACAGGAGACAGAGGTGACACTAGATGAATCACAGTGTTTTAGGGGAAAGAAGACCTGGATCCCCATTAGCTTCAGACAGGACAGGATTGGACCTCATCTTCTGAGACCAGAGGGAAGACGGGGGCAGATAGAGATGAATGCATACACATCACCGCAGAAGTTAAAGCCATTATTATTTTACTTTGAATGAAACAGGAGAGGAGGTGCCTTCTGAGAGTGATGGGGAGAGATCACGAGGAAGTCGGGATGATTTGGAATAATTGCCCAGGAAATGAGAACAGCAACTGCCCAATGACAAGACATTGGCAGTCTCTACAGCTAGCTAGGTCGTCATGCCTGTCAGCATGTGGACCTTGCAGAACAGGGTGAGTGACCATGGCTGGGGTTTTATTGGGCTTGGGGTGAGGATCTAGAAAGAAATGGGGCTTAGACCCTGCTCAGGAAGCCCAATGTATTGTAAGGGTAAGAAGAAGTTGGGAGAGCCTCACTGCCCTCGCACTCTCGTCCACAGAGCGGTGGAAGGAGGGCGAGAAGGAGAGGCCAGGCACACAGCAGGGACTAACATGAGCATGCCAGCCCCTGGACAGCCCAGGCACCACTTGCGGCCAGATGTTAAGAGAAACTCCTGAACAAAGTGTGACTGCCACCACCCAGCCCATAAACCCCCTCTCTGTGGCCACAAAGGTAATTTAGTGTCTTCGTCTCCAGAAGCGCTTGCATTTATCAGTGGCAGCAGCGCGATTCCTGGGCTGTAAATCATAACGCTTTAGGTGTATTTCTCTTGAGTTGATATCCCCTTATAAATAATGTGGGGAATGCTTTTATTTTGTTGGCAGAAGACTGTTTTCTCCCTCTCTTCTGTTTTTAGAGTGACCTTCTTTCTCAGTCAAATGGGATATATCCAAGAGGCTCATTTATTGGGTCTTCCCACGCACCAGGTAATATGGGAGCAGGTATAAATAGGAGTCCTGTTCTCTGCTATGATACAGATGATACAGTCTCCTAGCAGAAAGGACACTCATATCTATTAGAGTTAAAATGCAAATGCCCTTTGATCCAGAGAATCGTTTACCCATGTTTATAAGGATGTGCGTTTTTCAAAGCTTGACAAATTAATAGCAAATATCTGGAAAGCACCTAAAAGTGAAATAAGGACACTATAGTTAAATAAAGCATGGCAGCTTGTGCAGGAATTATAAAGAATGAGATGGACTTAGGCATACTGGTAAGGAAAGATCTCTAAGGTGTACTGTTGAGGGAAAGAAGTAAATTGTAAAAATTTACAAAAAGCATAACACATAATTATATAATTTATGTTTTTTAAAATCCCACAAATATGCTACATATTTGCTACAAGTACATGTATATGTTTATGATATATACATATAGAAAGAGATATAGAAGGATATACACCAAACTGAAGATGATGAATCCTTCTGAGAAGGAAGCGTAAGACTGCAGTGGTAGCAAACAGGATTTTAGCCTTCTGATATATTTTAAGTTCTTTAAAAGAGGAAGTATTCATAGATTGCTTGTGCAATTAAAAAGAGCTAGAAGTCAAGACAGCTGTACTCTGGGTCAGTTCATACTATAAATTTGGATAAGATATTTCCTCTGCAGACCTCAGGTTTTCCCATCTATATACTGAGGAAGTTGGGCTGGACAATCCCAGTGGTCCTTTGCAACTCAGAATGTCTCGAGTCTTCGAACTGTAAACATATTCAAAGGAAGGGGTTCAAAATTTTTAGGGCTCAATGCCACAGGATCTGGCACTCAGTAGACACTTTGTCTTGGCTGAACACTGAAGGTTGAATAATAATCCTTAGGCAGTTTTAGTATTAATAAACAGAGGTCAGACTTTTCCAGTAAACTTTACCAGGTGAGTGATCTACCTCCTGGATGAATGTCAGAGAGCTGTGGTAGTGTGGCAAATAAAATAGAAGCTTTGGAGGGATTCCAACCTAGGTTCAAATTCTGGCTCTTCTACTTACCTACTTTGTGCTACTGAGTGAACTACCAACCCTCTCTGCACCACAATCAGTGCTGAGCTGTGACAAACCACAGTTAATATTTCTGCTCCAGCTTTGATGCTGTGGTCAGTTATTTATTCATCAAACACTTATGGAGCACCAACTGTGAGCCAACCCTGGGGATGTGGCCATGAGGAAGACAGACAAGAAATCCCTTCTTACAGATGTGTAAGTATCTCCCTTGCCTCCTTCCCTCTCCCTGTTCTTGGTGCAAGCACTATTTACTCCGAACAGCAGCTGAACATGCCCAAGGATGTGGAAGGGGAAAGGGAAGAGAAAAGGGAAAGAGACTCTGGATGGGCTCTCTGGGAGATGCTGAAGACCAACCCACCTTGCCTGAGGGCCCGCTGCAGGAGCTGTAAGACTATCTATGCATGGATCAGTTGCTCCCCCTTCTCTGAGTCTCAGATTTCTCTTCCGTAACATGAAGATAGACAGTGAAGTCTACCTCCTGGGATTCCTCTGGGCATCAAATAGTTGCTAATGCTGATTCAAATGGCTAATGTTTCTAGCTCTTTCTAGGTGCCAGGCTCCGAGTAGAGAGTGGCTTGTGCATCACCACATTGCCCCTGACAACAATCACGATTTACTCAGGAGGAAACATGAACAGAGAAGTTAAGCAGCTTGCCCAAAATCTCACAGCTGCAGATAAGCAAATAAAGAATTGGAATATTATTTTTTAATCTATGTCCGGGTCCATACATAGTAAGCATTTTGAAATGTTTATTGAAAGTTATCTGTACTGCTTTGTCTTGTTGTTCCAAAAAGTTTACTTGAAAAACTATATGTTATGTACGTTTTCCTATAAATTACGGTTTCTAATCCAGTGCTAGAGAATTCAGTGAATTTGGAAGCAGCCAGAACACTGATTAAAGATGAATCTCTGTATAGAATAACAATTCTAAAACTTTTCAACGGGCCATTACAATGCAAAAAGTGCCTACTTTTTGTTATTTGACAATCATCAATAATATCTTAAACATTTATAGCAAATGAAAAAAAAAAAGAATTGGAATCTAGCTCTGACTTGAGATCCTGCACCAAAACCATCATACCTCTCCCATTCAAACAGGTGCCAAACAGCTTAGATGAGGCTACGATTCATGGGTTAGGATCCTTATCATCCATCCTAACATGATTATAATTATGAAACTTGGTTATAATGTTAATGAGCATTCTTCTCTGGCTGCCTCCAATTCTCCTGCTGCCACTGGCAGACAGGCTAAAGCAAAGGTATTTAGTTTTCAGAAGAGATAAAGTCCTCATAGTTTGGGGTTCACAGAGGACACAATTCCCTTCTTCATACAGGCCTTTGTTTTTAATTAAGAGCAGTAATCAGATAATCTTGCTTTAATTAGCTCCCCAGAAGCACCCCATTCTTGGAGCCTTTCTTTGATATTTTCTGCATTAAGTCTTTCAGCCTAAGACCATCCTGCAGACATGCACCAGACATTTGCCATTTGCCAAATATGCCCAGAAGGTTAGCATAAACTCCCACTCCCTTCTTTTTTGTAAAGACAACCCCTGCGTCAAAGCAAACACGTCTTTGAGTCAGGAAGGGGTTTGTCTAGGTTTGCTCTGTGAATCTGTGATTTTTCCAGTCTTATCACATTGGTCCTTCTGTTCACAAAAGCTGTGTGCATTTCATCTTAATTATGCATCTCTTAATCATCATTTCTGACTTATGGCCATTAACTCCTAATTACAAGAGGGCCACCCTTGAAAAGGGAAACCAAATGAGCTCAGAGAAATGGAGCTGAAAAGCAAGAGGGAAGATGGATGACAGAAGTTGTGCAACTAAGGGTGAATCCAAAGGCCCATTTATTGAAGGTGGTTATTGTTGGCACTTCTGTAGATTTGCGATGCTTCCATATCAGGCCACATCTGAATTCATCCCTTTCTGTGGTAAGGAAATTATAAAATTAAAAATAAAGGTAAAATTCAAATAAAGCTAAAATCTCCAGATGATAAATCCTCTGGCCCAACTTCTTTATGATGACTCTCCATTTTAAAAAAAACTTAAGTGAATATGTTTCTTAAAAATTTTTTGAACCTGTAATTACCCATAAATGGAAAAAAGAGTATGACGTGCCTTAAGTAGAAGGCAACTATAACAACTGTTGCTATTTTTTTAAATGTTCACCCTGTGCTATTTTAAAATCTGGAAAACCAAGCTCTGGAGAGGACTGCATTAAGTCCTCATTGCTTCAACCATTTGGATCAGCAAATAAAATTATATTCCATGTTTTGCAGATGGGGAAGTAGAGGCTCAGAGAGGGTAAGGGATCTGCCTAAAGTCACAAAGCTATGTGGCAGAGTTATACCTCAGACTTTCAGGACCGTGCTTGTTCTTGCCTATGCCAGAGACAATGAAAGACTTGAACAACAACTTTCAAAGTCTGAGATTCTTCAAGCTATTGGCCATCCAGAGGCAGCAGGGAGATACTCTTACCTGGGGCTGAGGATGCGGCTGCTGGTGGCTGACTGTCGAGAAGGAGTCCTCACAGTATCTGTGGCCATGGACAGAGTACAACTCAACCAGGACTGCAGGCTGCCCTCTGGCTGGGAGCTGAGGATGGAGACGTTATCCCTAGAATAAGATTGCAGGACACCGTCAGCACGATGACAACCACAGTAACAGCAATAATTAGATATTCGCCCATAGCATAAGCCAGGCATTGTGCTAAGTGATATACCTGCATAACCTCATTCACCATCCCAGAGAGGTAGGAGCCAGTGCTGCCAGAGTTACACAGATGGAATTACTGGGATTTGGAGAGGCCAATTTGGGTCTTGGCCAAGTTCGCCCAGCTAGTTAATGATGAAATTGGGATGCAAACCCTGTTCCTTTTTATTCCAATGCCCATGCTATTAATCATGGCCCTCTTCCTTGGGAAGATACACACTCCAATACAAATGTTGAGGTCTCTCCAATTTAGGAGTAAAGTTTGGCATTGATCTTGATATGTTCAAGGAATATATCAAGTGTGAAGGTCTTAACTCCTTCCTTACCTTAGCTAGATCATCTTTATAAACAGGGACTCTACTTTTATGTCCCCTGATTCTGAAAGTGGCACAGACAGAGAGGGGGTCCTCATAGGTTCTCAATGAGACCACGTAAGTTGATATACTCACTCGACATTATGTATATGTGTGTGTATATGTATGTGTGTATATTTGTATATTAATATTTATATGTGTGCATGTGTGTGTATATATATTGTAATATATATAGCTTTTTTAATAGGATGCTCCTTGTATGCCAAGCACCAGGGAGCTGAACACATGAACTTAACATTGACCCTGTCCTCAAGACCCCATCTCTATAAATAACCATAAATTTTTTTTAATTATTAATATTTTATAGAGGGACAGACAGTAGGTTTTACTAGAACCTGCCCTCCGTCTCTACAAAGCGTTCATAATGGTAGGTTCTAATAAAACCTACCCTCTATGCCTCTATAAAGCATTAATAATTTTTTCTTTCAAAGAGGGAGCCTTGATTTGCTTCGTGGAGGCCTAAAGAAAGACATCAAGTTGTGAAAGTTGAGCTCCATCTTCTCTGAAGGTTAGCATTTGGCTATGCAGGGATGGAAGAATGGAATTTTGGGTGGAAGGAATTATACGCACATAGGTACGGAGGTCATAATGGTTGGGGCATAAACAATATGGAAACCAGAAATCACAGTTAGAGGGGAAAGTAAGGGTCTGAATGTGCAGAATACAAACGTCAGTGTAAAAAGTCTATTCTGGGGCAATAGGGAGCCATTGAAGGTGTTTGAGGACCGTGGCATGAGGAGGCACAGGCTTCTTTCTGTCTAAAAGAACTAGGGCAGTTCAATACTATGTCCCTAGTGCTGTATGTTGTGACCATGAAGGCATTAGTCTCATGGGCATCACTGATAATTCTCTAAGTGCACATGGATGTTCCCTCTGCAAACTGGACAGAGAGAGCCAGGGGCTCACCCTTGTGAGCTGCTCGGTTCTACTTGGGGTTAACTTACATCTCTTTTTTGCCACTGCTGCCACAATCCACTGCCGTCTGGACACTAGTAAGAGGCAGAAGAAAGAGTGTGTTATCCTCGTGCTGCCAGGAGCTTGGGAACATGGTTACTGATGTTAGACAGACATGAGTGTGAATCCCACTTCCAACCTTTGCCCCTGTGTGATCTCAGGGCAGTCACTTGCCTTCCCTGAGCTTCCTTTCTTCCTTCTTAAAATGTGGCAAACAATGGGGGCTCTGCTGTGGAGCAGAGTAAGTGAGATAACCCTTGTAAAGATCTCAGCATGGTTCCTGGCAAATAGATAGTGCTAATTAAGTGGTAGCAACCATTACCGCTACTCTTGTTTTAGTACAACTAGTACTGCTGTTATTAATAGCATTGTTATTGCTAACAAGCCAGGCATTTGCTGTACGTTCTTTGTGAGTGCTAGCAAATCAGACATGGAGCAGGGCAGCTTCCCGGGGCATTGTGGGAAACTCCAATACTAATTACGATGGTAGCTATTCTTTAGAGAGCATCCCTCCATTCAACAAATATGCTACCCACACAATCTCATCTACTTCCCCCATGCGTCTCCATTTTAGAGATTAGGAACCTGACACACTTGTCTAAGTCACACAGCTTTTGATCCCAGGCCTGTTAAGCTCATGCTCCTAACCAGCGTGTAGTTGTTCAGTGGGTGGGTGCAGACAGCCAAACCACAAACCTCAGACACCTAGGACACCATTTTAATCTGGATCGTCACACTGGGGCTTCTCAGTATTCTCTGTTGTAATCTGGACAATTCCTCTTTTAGAAGATCTAGCTGTTTCCTCTATGAGATGCACCTGCTGCTGCTTGGCTCCCATCCTCAAGAGCCTGTCACCCTGGGGGTTTCTGTTTACATGCATTTGTTCCCACCAGGCAGTGACCAACACCCCTTCTGGACCAAGAACAAGTGTTATTCATCCTTCAGCCCCAAAGCTCAGCCAGACCAGAAGTTCTCAGACAATGCTTGGTGAATCCAACAGAAGAAAAGTCAGTAAACAACAGCCATGGGCCAATTCTAGCCTCCCATCTATTTTTATAAATAGAGATTTTTGTCTGTGATTGTTTTTGCACCATAATGGTAGTGCAACAAAGACAATATGGCAGGAAAAGGCTAAATATTTACTATCTGGTCCTTTGAAGAAAAGGACTCTACAACGGAACAAAAGCAGCTTTTGTGAATGGCCTTGTGGGAGGCAGAATAATGGCCCCCAGAGATGTTCACAATCTAATCCCCAAAATAAGGGAATATGTTTCCATACAGGGAAAAAGTTTTATTGGAACACAGTCACCTATTCACTTACATTTTGAGTACTTCCTCACCTATTTTGACTAAACACCAATCTTTACTTGAATCCAGCACTCAGGAAAGTCTTTATTGCCCAATAGCTAATTAAAGCACACACTGGTGTTAGTTCTTGTTCGCTATTTACCCTGGCTGACTCCATGAGTACTAGCCTCCTGGGTGGACTCGGCATTCAGATTTACCCTCTTCCAAAGGGCTCTTCCCCAGTACTAGAGACCCATTAACTTCATGATGTCTAACCATGCTGGGCATCTTCTCATCTCCTCACTCTTCTGCATGCTCCTGCTCTCTGACCCACTCTGTCCGTATAGGGGGCTGCTCTGTATGGACAACATCAATGGGTTCCCTATCCCATCAATGGATTCCCTATCCCATCAATGGGTTCCCTATCCCATCAGTGGCTTCCCTATCCCATCAATGGGTTCCCTATCCCATCAATGGCTTCCCTATCCCATCAATGCGTTCCCTATCCCATGGCTTTCTCTTGGACTCAGCCAATAGGGAATGCAGCTGACAGTTCACAGGAAGGAGGGAAGAGAGGGAAGCTGAAGTACTTATTGTCCTGGATTTCTGAATTTTTCTCTACTGCCTATCCTTGTGTTGGCTGCAGCTCTCAACCAAAGGCCAGAGCTCCTCCTATCAGGCCTCTCTCTCACTCTCTTTCTTTCTGGATTCCAGCAATTGCACCCTCTTCTTCTCCCTTCAGACCTTGCAGGAGTTACTGCTCTCAGTTGCTGCTATTCCCTAGGTGCTGCACCATCTATAGCTTGGGGCTTCCTCACACCTTTGTAAATAGTCCTTTTGTTAAGCTCTCTTCATTTAGAGTTTGTATTTCAGTTTCCACCAGACTCTATTACAATAGCTAATCTCAATGCTTTTTCTACCTTAACAGGAAGATCTGCATTTACTAGGCCAATAGTTTACATGACAAAGAAGCAGACAGCAGGCATGACCCAACATTGCACTGCTAACTACTGTTACACCCTTAATCACAGTGTCACAATGTTGGGGGGAAGAAAAAGCAGTGAAGAACCTAAGAGGCAATCTTATAAGAGCCTAAGATTATCAGCAATCATTACTAGCCCCTCCTAAGCTTCTGATCTGGGAAAGAACTAGCCACAAAAACAAATTTAAAAAAAGAAAGTATAGCTGCTTATGAATCCTACATTTTTATAGTATCTGGACACTGGTAGCTTTTGCCCGTGAACCTGTTTCGCTAAATTTGCATAGAATATCGAAGGCTGAAGTCAAGACCCACCAGGTGGTCTGTTTGTTCATTCATGATGAAATACTGTCCATACCAAGACTGGTATCTGACCTGGAACACATGTTTCCTACCATTTGAGCTGGTCTCCAAAAAAATGAGAGTATGTTTAAAATAAGGAGGCTGAATTAAGAGCTTCTGGGAACTAAGGCTCACATTTATTGTATGAACAAATGCCAAAGGCACCTAATGCCTTTATCGTGAGATGATCTCCAATGAAGTCTTCGGGACAGGAGATTAAAAAAAAAAAGGCTTTCAGGCAGAAGCAGTGGAGAGTTTTGTACTGTCTGCTCCTGAGAAGCATTAAACCACATGGGCAGAACTCACTGCCATGTTGACTGCCTGTAAGTCACAGGTTACTGGTCCTGGAAAGTACTTGAGTTTGTACACCATGGTGCATGGAGCCCTCGAGCTCTGGGAGACACCATGAAAAGTGCGGGTACCAAGGGGTTAAGAAGAGAGACCTAGGAGGAAGGATTAGCCCCAAACCTTCCCCTCTCGCTCCAATCAGAAGATGGCTGCACTCCATCCTAAGCTAGAATTTTGTACATGAGTTTGCTTTGGTATAAAAAAGGAATTCTACAATAAGGAGGGAGTTTGAAACCCACTGGTCCTTTTACCATGTGAAGAAAGAGTCTCTGGGCTACAAGCTCCATGAGGCAAGTCCATGTCTGCTTGTTCCCTACTGTACCCTGTGTCCCAATACAGAGGGTGTCCATTCATTGTTTTCTGCTGAGTGGGCACAGGCCCAAAGGACAGATGACCTGTCCATGGTCCTGATTTATTTGGCAGTACAGCTGTCTGGGACCTTCATCTGACATGAGGTCAGTGGTTCTTTCTCTCCCCTTGGTGCAAGTGGCTTTTCAAAAAAAGAACTTGCCCAGGCATGGTGGCTCATGCCTGTAATCCCAGCACTTTGGGAAGTGGAGGCGGGTGCCTCACGAGGTCAGGAGTTCAAGACCAACCTGGGGAATATGGTGAAACCCTGT